GAGCCGATGATCATCAGGAGGGAGCCAAACATGATGCACCAGCGACGTCCGAAGCCGTCGTTGACATAGGGGATAAACGGAAGTCCGACACAGGCGCCCAGAGAGAGGGACGACGCCATGATACCCTGGTAGCCACCTTTGGGATCATGGAAGTCTGGATGTAACTGGGTCAGTCGTGATCTTCCCTGCAGATCCCCGCATTCTCCTGCACCTCTCTGAGTATCAATAGGAACTTACACGCGGTCCATGCTGGCACCAGCTGCACGGCGTTGATGATCTGCGAGTCGAATCCGGACGTCATCTCGATACCGATGACACAGGGGAAAAGCAAGAGGTACAAGGTGCGTAGGTTCGGCTTTCGGTACCACGAAACGGGATCCTCCATCGCCATACGATGGAGGTCGTTGATCTCCCCATTGTTTGCGCCGACCATGGCTGCGGTGTTGTCTCGGAATACGCCGAGATGCCTGGTTGTGGATTCTGAGTTGTGGGTTATGAGCAAACTGTTCTCACGCTGGACCAGACGGTGTCGCCAACCTGTGATATGCGGGTTGGTGAGGCGTGTGGAAGAGATACAGGACAAAAAGGAAGAAAACTCAGCAAATGGAAAGAAGGGAGAGGTAGGAATAAAAAAGAAGAAGAGGGGAAGAGGGAAAAGAGAAAGGGGAAAGGGACTGGGCAACCAGATGTTAATAGATATATTAACAAGACCCAGGATATACGAGTTGAACTGAGAAATAAAGTAAAATATGGCAAACGATCAGGCCCAGACACACCTCTGTGCTTTCGCCTCGTCGTATATATGGCATATGGAGAGTCCTGAATACAGATATAGGCAGAGCGTGCACACAGGTTCTACAATCTGAACGAGATGGAGAACTCCGCCTGGAAGACGAGAAGCCTTCCAATCCCCTTTCTTCTCTCGGCTATTTTCTTCATCCTTCGTGCCTGGCGAGCAACAGTGCCAAGATACCCTCAGACGGTCACAGTTGAGAGTCAACCAGCTCGTTGACAACTGCATCGACCCGAGCAGGTGGGTATGCCCGAGCATCGAATAGGAGCGGACAGCTGTCCTTGAAGCGAGGCAAGGAGAGGGATAAAATGTGCAAGAGAGAGGGCGTGATACACCAAATGAGGCAGAAGGAACTGCCAAGGCGTAAACCGGGACGAAATAGCGGCTCAAATGGTATGGGCATTCGGCTTCCCTTGTCCCTTTGTGCCTTTGATGCCTGCCTTTGCCCTCCGCTGGATCTCTGGCCTGTCGCCACCAGCCGCAATTTGTATCCATTGCATCTATATTGGCCATAGTGAAGGCCATTCGGCCCGCTCTTCTCCAGAGACGGTGGGCGAAGGATGGGAGCGAATGGGTCAATGGGGAATGATGCGGTGGGGGCAAGAAGCGGCACGGCTGGATGTCGTCTCCGGACGTCCACAAACCCATGGAACAGGGGCTGATCTGTTTGGCTGGAGGAAGAAAACCGAGGAAAGAGAAGGAGCGCGTCAGAGAGAAAAGTCCCTTTCGTCCATCTTGTCTCTCTCTCTCATTCGTGCTCTTTGACTTTTGTTTCTTGTTTGTTGTGTGGGCTCCATCTCATATTCGGTGATCATTGCAGACCACGCCAGGCAATTCACGCCGGTGCTGCTTGCTTTCTCGTGCCCGTACACACCCCGAGTGTAACTGCGCCTTGGACAATTGGTTCTGTTGATTCCCCCCTTTTCGTATCACCACTCCCCCCTCTTTCTACCTTTGGTGATTTTTAATCTTTTTTCTTCTTCTTTTTTTTCTCCCCATGTCGACTTTAGCCGGATCGACAAGGGCGGTGGTAGGTGACTTATGTCACCTTCCCGTTCGCATGTAGCAGGCTATCATACCAAGCCGTGGGAGTTGTTTCTGTGGTGGCAATCCACACGTGGCCGTCGTCGATATTCTTCTGCTGCTTCTTCTACTACCCTTCATTACCTTGCTAATTTGTCACCGAGACACATTGCCTCCATTTTGGTTGAGCGCTTGCTGCCAAACAAGTGTCCCTCTCTGTTTCTTCGTTTCCTCTTCCCCGCATAGCAAGATCACCAACGACGCGTGGCTCAAGATGAAGACACCCACTTGGTATCCGATTTTCACCTCTTGGCATTTGAGAGTGCAGGTGTCCATTCCTCAAACCCCTGTTCGCTTCGTCGACATTTGCATCTTTTTCTTCCTCCCTTCCTTTGTTCTTCTCCTCATTCTAGGCGTAAATCTTCCCCACGCTTGCGGCAAAAGGCAAAAAACGCAACATACATCGTAATAGCGTCAGGCAAAGGGACGAACCTCTGAACCATCTTAAGGAGGGTGTGTGGTGAGGGTGATACTTGTTGCAAGTAAGACCCTGTCGAAGACGGTATGCCAAGACCCAATCAGACAGGCAAGCGAGGTCAGAACGAGGGTCTAATTTTGGATGAGAACTGACCCACCGTCGTGGCAGCAAGTCGTATATCTGGTTAGATGACGAGTCTGTTGGCTGGTTCTGACAGTCTTTTAAGCTTGTCCTAGTGTGGCCACTAGTCGTTATGCTGCTTGGGCGATCGAGTCGGGACCGTTCTAGAGTCGTTTTTTTTGGTACTCTTCTTCCTCTTCCATCTTCTTCTTCTTCTTCCTCCATGTCCTTCCCGTTTGTCTGATCGGCTGTTTGTCGTCGGGAGACTTTGTTTCCTTTACCAGGTGGCCCCGAAATTGAAATGGGAACTGGTTTTGCAAAACAAAACTTTGTATTGAAATGCCTCTTTTCGTAAAATATTGTGTTCCAATTGTTCGTAGCGTATGGGGTACATCGAATGCCGAACGAATTGCCTTGCTTAGCATTCCAAAGAACGGAGTAAAACAAGGTTATTTTTTTGTGGGGGAGCATAAGCAGTCAGGCGCTCCCACTTTACCTAGAAGGGTGAGCTCGTGCCTGTTTCCCCTACCCCAGCCAGCTCCTCTTGGATTTTGCGGCCCTTCTTGCCCGATTTGTTACTTTTTCCGTCAACGGGTATTGAATGCTACGGGCAGTCATTTTGCTAAACACAGGCCGGTTCTTGGCGGCTGCGACCCTACCAATCTTGCGTTGTGCTGGCGTGGGAGCATGTTTCTGTCACACATTGAGGTGTTCGAGTCAGGATATGCCGCAGGTCGTAAGTGTGTGTCTTACCTGTCGTGCCCTCTTTGGTCGCATTAGCCCATCCATTGCTGGATTCCTCACATTGCGCTTCACGCGGTGAAATTCCGTCGGCCAAACTGATCCTTAGTTCATCCTGGATGACGACACAGGGTAGCGTGCCGGAATCCCTTTCCGTTGGCCTGTTTTTCTCCTCCAGTGTGCTGAAGAAAGAACGATTGCATCGATGTTCTCCAGAGTTCAATTTGACAATTCTTTCAGATTTTTGTGTTAGTCCGTTGTCTGCCTTGGTTTTTGTTTCAGTTGGTCTATCGGCCTTTCTCGTGAAGATCAGACTCAAGCGTCGGACACGTCGCCAGAATCTGCCGAGATGAAGAAGGGGAGATAGTTAAGGTAGTATCTCGTGTGCGCTCCAGTCATCCCACACTGCAACTTCGGTAGCGATTGTGCCGAGTCGACCTTGACAAAAAGGTGGTCCTCTCATCATGAGAGGTCTGTGGGCAGGATATCAGTCAGTTGTGGTTGCATATTGGCCAACAACATGACTTGGGCCTGGCACACAACCCTCGACGAATAGTTGAGTCCCAAGTACTGTACAGACGAATTTAAAGCGAGTCAGTCAATGGAGAAATCAATACTTTGCAGTACAGGAGAAAATATGCCGTGTCAGTTGGCAGGCTGAGACGAAAAGGGACATAAGAACGAAGTACCTGGTCAGAGAGGCTCACAGACAAGCTTTGTGGCATTCTCTCAAACGCAGCTTGGCTCCTTGGTAGGATGAGCCAAGATGCAAACAGCGGGAGGAGACGGTGGACAACCTGCCTCGAGGACAGTTTAAAGGCACAGTCGGGCAAACGGACGACACACGCGACCAATAGAGACTGTGCCCGCCAAACAGCATCCACCATCCAGACAACCGTCGTTTTTGCTTCTTCTGCCTTTGGAGCAAGGACGAGGTGGAATAGAGCTTCTCTTCTTGTTCTTGAATTGCCCTAATGTACCATTGCGGTTGTTTCTCGGTTGTTTCTCGGTTGATGAGTGCGATTCTTGAGTGCTGGGGCAGATGCATGTTACAGTGTACAAGGTAGCCGTCGGTCGACCGTGAATGCCATCTCCGTTGCATTTCGTTCGCCCGGTTCGATTTTGCCATAATCAAGAGGTGGCAAATTACGAAAGTTATCTCTCTATATGTTACCGTGTTAGTCGCTGATCTGTTGGAACAAAGGGAAATGTTAGACTCGGAAAAGGGGGGATGATACAACATGGTAGGCAAGAGGCGCAGGAGATGAGAAACGAAACAAGTAAACAAGGCAAATATATTAAATGTGCCATCTCGATGGTCTTTTGTTCCTCTGCCCTTTCTGATCTTACCATTGCCGATGGCACATTCTACAGACATCTTGTTCGATGTGTCTGTTGGTGATTTGTTTGCGACCGACACCGACCTGCAGCCTGGCTTTCAGTCGGCATGTCGCTGCATTGCTGTCGAATATTGTGTGGCATTGTCGGGAGTTGTGAGGTGGCGACGGGGCATCGGTCGGCGACAGAAGCGATGGAGGCAGAGTGAGTTTATAGGAAGGAAAACAAATGGGACAGAGGTAAGAACGAAACGGCGATGAAGAAAAGGTGATGACAAACAAAGTGATATGTAAGCTGGAAGGAGCGACGAGCGTGTGTTGTTTGTTACTTCCTAATACGGTAAGCAATTGAAGCGCTAACAAGAGGCAGGTGCGACTGTCCCACTCCCTTTTTATTCCCGTGACGTTCATTAAGTGCTATGGTTGCAAGGGTGTTTATTTCTCTTTGCATTCAAGTCAGGTGATTACCGTCGTCTAAACATCCCAATACCACTTTCTGCAGCTGGCATCACTCGACCGACCCTCTTGGTGGTCGCACCGCCACCAGCACCGATATGGTTGTGCTGAACAGCGTGAGCGACGAGAAAGGGCAGACACCAGTCCTGAGGCCACCAAGGCGTAGGCCGGTACAAAATCCAGCAGCTAGAAACGGACCCGCGTCAACGGTACTGATGTTTTCGAGCAGGCCGGTGGTGTTGATGAGGGTGGCTCGGGGGGGCACGCACGGCCAGGTCGGCGAGTGGGCTGCGAAGGAGCTCGTTGCAGCCATCGTCAAAGGCAGGGCTCGACGAAGTCGATGAGCATGGCGGCAGCGTTCGGGGGGGGGGGGGGGGGGGAATCGATGGAGAGGGCCATAACGGTGAGGATGGCGCAGTTGATACGGACACACCACCGATCGCGCTACCGTGCGTTCACCGCTCCGCCAGGACGAGACCGGCGGCGGGCAGAAGGACGAAGAGGAGGGCCCGTAAGGCAAGTGACTTGATCGAGACGAATTGGCCACGCCGGGCCCATGTCCAGCTGAATCGATTGCTGGCAAAATGCATCTGCACCTCTTGCGTCTGTCTTTCGAGTGTCGTCGTGACGAAGGCACGGATAAGCAGCGTCACATGCCGGTTAGCGAGGGTCAGTATAAGACCGTTGAGGACACCAGGGTAGTCAGCGCGTATGTCACGACAACACCCCTGGCCGCCTTTACATCATCTCCGGATGGGCCCGGCCCGGGCTATGGTCCTGGGTTTCGGGAAGTCACCGGATACCACCGACATGAGTGTACGTTGTGAGTATGGTAATAGACGGCAATATGTTTCAATAAACGGTAAGCACACTTCTATATGATTACAACTCAAAGTGGTTGTGATTCTCTAAGTACAGAATAGGAACGAAAATGACAACAACAAAGTTGGATGAAAAATATAAAGCAGTACAAACAGTGCCTCACCGGGCCTCAGATATACATGGAAGTGAACATGGAACGTGAACAGAAAGCTGTGAAGGACAAGGAACTGGGGTATTTTTTTTGTACCTATACACGACAAGGAAAGAAACAAACCAGCAGAAAGCAAAGAAGGCGAAAAGGTGAAATAAAATATAATGTGAAGGACAGAGGAAGAATGGAAAAGGGAGAAATATGGGGAGAAGAATGTGGAAATTTTAAAAACTAAAAGAAAATGAAACAGCATCGGCGGGGAAATCCTCTTCATATGGTGCCATCAGTATCAAATAAGGACCCTGACTCGCCAAAAGACATAGAGGCTACGTCGTTTGCACCGGCCGGGAATAAGTCCAGTGGTGCCCACGATGCCGAGCCGCTCGCGTCGAACGAGAACTGGCCCTGGCTCTGGCTCTGGCTTTGAGGCTGGGGCTGGCTGTAGGTCTGAGTAACTTGAGTCTGGCTCAGCGTGTGGCTGCTATTCTCCCAGCCATGGTCTGCAACATTGTGGTGCAGCGTGGCCGTGGATGGCGGCGCAGACGGCTCCATTTTGGGCACTTTGGGCGCCCGGCTCGGCGTATCGATGATGAAAACATCGTCATCGTCGTCGTCGTTCATGTGACCTTGGTGATTATCGTTGGCGTTGCTGTCGTCAATGGTAAAGCTGTTGCCAACACTGCCGCCATTGCCGTAGTGAGGGTAGAAGACGGGCTGCTGCTGGTGCTGGACGGCCGTGTGGAAGACCACGTCGCGGTGATCAGGCGATGCCTGGTCGGGCGGCGAGACCCCTGCACTCAGGGCCGGCGTGCTGTCCGGCAGGAACGCTGTCGTTGTGGCAGCACCAGACGTCGACGCAGTCGTGGTTGGCGTAATTGGGCCAACTGACGACACCGCCAGGGTGAGTGAGGGTGTGTTGGATGGCATGGCCATCCGGTGCGACGGCGTCGAGGCAGGTGTCAGGTCGAGCAGTTCGTAATCGACCTCCTCGCTGGCCAGCGTGCTGCAGCCATCGCCGTCCTCGCCATTAGAAAAGACGGCCTCGGCGACACAGCGTGCACGCTTAGCCGGAGGCCCAGAGCCAGCGCCTGCGTTGGCGTCCACAGTGTTCGTGGAAGCCCCAGCGTTGGCCGGAGTGACAGGAGTGGCCGGGGTGGCGGGTGTCTTGCGCTTGCGGGTTGGTGTTGCAGCACCAGCGCCTATGCTTGTGCCGGCGGCGGCGGTTTTGCGGCCAGGCAAGGGGCTGGCCTGCTCTTTGTACGTGCCGTCACGCATCGCCTTGGCCTCTTTCTTGATGGCCCGAAACTGGAACTCGATGCCCAGACGAGTGGATTCACCATAGTATTTTGCAATTTCTAAACCATTAGCAAAGAGGACTGGAAATGTATGTCACGAACAACGTTTAGTGTGCCTGTCTCGTCTCATCATTCTCGCAGCCCAGGGCATACCCTTGTCACCCAGGAGAAAGATGCTGGCCAGCTCCTTGGCGTCCTCCTTGCTCGCTACGGCCTGGCGAAGCAGAGACGCCTGCTGCTTGATGGGCCGGAAGCGGTGTTCAACGCTGGACCTGGTTGCATCGGAGCCATAGTGCAGGGCAATGGCTGGTGGCCGAGTCGAGTCAGCCCACGCAGTCGACAGTGCCAGAGGGAAGAGGCCAACACAAAAACGAGACGAAATAAGAAAAGAATGAACTATGCGTGGCAAGACGTGGTATAAGGACCTACCAGAATAGTCGAGCTTAACCGTCGGAAGGCTCGCAATGACGGCAGCCAGGAGACGGCTCTGTGCCTCGTACGTGCGAAACACAGACGGCATGGCTGTGGTGCGTGTGTTGGAAGTAAAGGAAAGACTAAATTTGCTGTTGATGCAATGTGGCGATGGTGAGATGCTGCGGTGTTGCGACGTTGCAAGAAGCAAACGGCCTCGGCGAGTGAATGTATTGTGTATGTCCCTTCGATATGCCGTCAGCTGTTGCGTATATTGTACCGGTCGTTTTTCAGGCACACAGAGGCCCTCGGCCTCGACGGTCGTGCAAAAGAGAAGTATCACAAGACTGAAGAGCAATGAGAAGAAAACAGAACAACACGGAAAACGAATGACAAAAGTCGACTGAAAATGGCATAGGTGAGAGGAGAGAGGTACGACGTGCGCAAGGTACCAAATACCGAAGCAACGAGAGAGAGACAAGAAGCAAATGCGCCACTCCACGTCCTGGGCTGCTGGGATGGCCCATCTGCGAAAAGCGAGAAGAGTCGAAAAAATGCGGTGGCTGGGAGACCTGGGCCATCTCGGCGTGTTGGCGACGATGCATGCCTAGCTGCTAGCGGGTACTTTCAGATGCACCAAATGCACTAGTATTATTAAGTACCAATCTAACACTTTATAACGCGCCCGCGCGCGTTTTCTGGGCGCGACATGGTGGCCAAAGCTTCGCGTCGACTTCGTTGGCTCTCGTTGCTCACTCCGTGTTACACAACTCCTCGCTCCCTTCCATGTTGCTCCTTATCATCACGTCAGGGGTGACTTGTAAACGACAGAAGGGCAACGTAATTTTGCGACAACCTCGCCTCGTCGTCTCTACTGCCCATTGAACCTGCCCTCCTCACTACCTTCCGCCGTAAAGTAGTATGCGCCCACTAAATGACGGCCCGCGCCGCTAAACCACAGCGACGCTTGAGCTGCACCGTCTCGGACAGGCCAACGGAAGGAGCCAGCGGTGGAGCCAAGCAGCCCAAAAGCAATTCTTCACAGAGCATCACTTTTATCTTAGTTTTCACGGCAAATTGCAGCACAGGCCCAGTGGTCTTCGATGCCTCCAAACACAGGAACAAGTCGCATGTCATATTTATATGAATAGAATGGCAGGCCGGGGCCCCGCCGCCTCGTCGTGGCTCCCAAGGCCCGAATTACAAGAAAATAAAGTCCACCGATAAATGTAAATGTGAATACACCGTGAATGCATGCACCCATGTGCACAATATTATGCTTGAGACAACCGGTCTCGTTGCCTTTCTTACTTGGAATGGATCAGTTCCAATATGCATAGATCCGAAGCCATTTCTTAGCCTCATGAGCCTCATTCACTCCGTCCCTTTTATTTCAACAATCTCCAACCACCCACGCCTACCAAAACCGTTACCGCGCGTTCGGCAGGATCGATGCCGCTGCCGACCGGAACGCCGCCTCCTTTTCCTTGAGCATGATGCCCGGTCCGCCGCTGTCCGTGTCACGTGCACTACTCGTCCCGTCGCCATACACAAAGTACTGTATGCCCAGGATCGAGTCGCACACCGCCTGGAACAGACCACACAGCTTGAACGCCCACGGAATCTCCGTTGTGGACGTGAAAAACCAAAACATTTTCATCGCGTCACCGGCCAGCCAGCTGGCCAGCACCGACACCCGGAACCCGCGGCACGACCGCGCGCGCATGTTTGCCCGGATCTGCGGCAGCGGCAGCGTCGCCTCCACCGACAGCCCAACGTAGCCGATCAGCACCGAGTACGCGCCGTAGACGTCCGGGAAGGGACTCAGCAGCACCTGCAAGGCGAGCAGCGTCAAGAACATGTACAGCAAGAACTGCCAGTACGGCTTGGGCGACCGCCACTGCCAAAAGTTGTACGGCCGGTTGGCAAAGAGGCCGCCACCGCCGGTCGGCGAGTTCGAGGCCGACGTCATCGAAAACGAAACCGACCGCGTCCGGCCGTCCAGGCCCGCAAACGGCGCCTCGCCCGTCTTGCCCGACGGCGGCGGCCGGTTGTCGAGCGCAATCTTGAGGAGCACGAGCTGCACCGCCACCATTAAGATCGACTGCACCAGCAGCGCCTTGTCAAAGTGTGCGCCCGGGTAGTAAAAAAATGCGCAGGAGCGACGCCACCAGCATAATCAGTGGGATGTCCAGCGAGAATCCTGCACTCGACCGCTTGCGGCTCATCGATAACGCCTGGTCGCCGTACGAGAAGATTGGCGACAGTACCAGGAACAGTGGCGCGGCATAGCCGGCCAACGTTGTGAAGAAGCCCATCGAGGGGTGGGAGGCAAAGGGAACGGGAGGGGTCGAGAGGGGTCAGAAAGGTGAGAAGCGGTCGAGGTCGGGTGTTGCTGGGACTGTGCAGCGCTATGCACGGTTGAGAAGAAATAAAAAACGCGCGAGAAGAAAGGAATGTGGTCGAGATTCGATTCGGGTCGAGGTCGCGGTCGCGGTCGCGCTTGCCAAGTGTCACCGCGGGAGCCGGAGACGCCGGGACGGCGCGGAAGGATGGGAAAGGGCGACGGAAGGAGCTGACGTACGACGTACTCCGAATTTGTTGCCGTCAGCTTATAACAAGATCTGAGATCCGTGCGGAAATTGTAGCGAGTGCAAAAGAATCCAGATGAACGCAACGGAAAACGAGACGCTGGGCCAAAAAAAAAAAAAGAAGCAATTCATCAAAAGTTAAAAAGGTCAGAAAAGCTTGATTTGGGATTTCAGGATACGTATTTGCCAATTAGCGCGCCCCAGCTGGGGGAATCTGGCAAAATCGGACTTGATCGAAAAGTGGGCCAAACTCGGCATGTGGACACATCGAGCTACCATTGGCTCTTTTTGACAAATAGCTGACATAACCACCTTCCGCGACTTACACGGAGCAGTTGGTGATGCAGTGGATTTTGGACAACGAAACGAAACGTAGAAAGAAATACCAGGTAACGCTGTCTGGTGTATATATGGTGTCGAGCCGTTGGCTCTCCCTTCTCATGGTCAGAGAAAGATAGTACATAAGCAAGAAAATAGTGCCAAAACCAGAACGGAAAGAGTGACAAACAGGATACCACCAAGAAAGATCCTGTCTCGTCAAGCAATCCCAAGTGGTGAAAGAACAAAATGGTAGAACCAGTAAGCCGGAAAGTAGACAGTAACAAACATGTAAGTGGCCAGCCATCCAACGCCAAGCAGATATGCAAAAATGGCAAAGAAATCCAAGCAGACATCCGAGATGTGCCTCCAAAATAACAACAGAAAAGATGCAAAAACAAAAAATGAAAAAGAAGAAGAACAGAGTATACTAATACAGAGAAGCCTCATCTTAAGATGACATTATAATGCAAACATAATTCAAACAGAGACAAGAAAACAATGAACCTGGGGAAAATAGGACAGATTCGAAAGAAAAGGTGCCTGGGATGTAGCCGTTGTCGTGGGCATGGTGGTTAGACACGGCCGCGGTCAGACTGCCATGACCGCCGCAGAACATCGTCGTGGATACGCGGTAGATCGGGCGCGGAACGAGGCGGTGGAAGAAGCATCCGAGGCAGGTCAGACTGTGAAGGTGAACCAGACTGTGACCGCGGCTGGGCGTAAGAGTCGTGCGTGTGGTGCGAGTAGTGGTGGTCCGGATATGGGTGACTGCGGTGATGGTCGTGCGCTGACGAAAGTAGCTGCGAGTGCGGAGGGTACTGCGAGCGGGGAGAAAGCTGATCGTGTTGCGCGAATTGCGAATGGGGCGAGTACGGTTGCTGCGGCGTCGAACGCGGGTACGATGGCGGTGGCGGCGGCGGTAGAGGCGACGATTGTGGCTGCTGACCACTGCCCCATACGTGAGGCGGCGGCAGAACACTACTAGTCGAGCTGTGGCGCAAAGGATCGGCGGACGATGATGAGCTGGACAGTGTCGGCGAGCGGTTGCTAAACGGTGGTGAGCGGCCGCGTCCAGATGCCTTGTAGTGGTCGTAGTCGGAGCGCATGCGCTTGTTGTTTGCGTTGAGAGCAGAAGATGATGGCGACTCAGGCGGCGGGCGAATGGCGGTCACAGAGCCGAACTTGCGGTGATTGTCCGGCTCGGTCGACGCCGTACCGGGCGAGTTGTTGTTTCCACCGCGGGGACTAAACAGTTAGAACGACGTCAAGCAAACTTAACATTCGGTAATTTCCCGGTAATGTACCGGTAAGGGTGCACATACGCATTCTTGAAGCGGCAGACGCGGCCAAATTTCTCGCACTGGACACAACGCGGGTACTCTGGGTCACACTTGATCTTCTTCTCGCGGCACGTTATACATGCAATAGCTAGACGCTTGCGCGGTTTGCCCGCCTTCGTCACGCCCCAGTAGGGATTGACAGCCTCGCCATCAATGACAGCCTTGCAATGCGTGCCGTCGTCGTAAAAGTAGCACAAGCCTTCACCCGGCACTTCCGAAGCGTGCATGAATTGCGGCAAGAAATCCACGCCGGTCCAGATCTTGGGGCCCATGCCCAGGCCTTCCTTTGGTACGCCACCCGCACCAGCACCAGCACCAGCGCCAGCATCCGGGAATGCGCCACTGGCAGGCGTTGACGGGAGGCTGTTGCCCGATCCAGGCGAAGGCCGTCTATCGGCATCATGAGCTGGCCCTCTCACCGGGCTACGCTGCTGTTGCTGAGTGGGTGGTGGCGGAGGCAGAGGCGCTGTCCTGTGGCTGGAGTATGACTGTGCAGGGGGTGCTGCTGGCGCCTGTTGCTGCTGGCGGTAATAGAAACTTGGCGAGGACGGCTGCTGCCCGTCCTGCAAAGACCACTTGCCTACGGCGACGTAGTTAGAGCGTGCGTCGGGCCACTGGTGAGAATGCTGCTGCTGCTGCTGCTGCTGCGGTTGCTGCTCATGCTCGTGAGAGCGCGGCGAAGGCGGCTGGTACAGTTGGCTAACGGGTTGCCGTTCATCAGCGCGAGGGGAGCGCTGATCACGGCGTTGGTAGTGCTGATGTTGGTAGTTGCCTGAAGGGTACGGCTCGTGCGATCCTTGCTGCGATGTTGCCGACTGTGGTGGAGGCAAGTAGGCAGCCTGCGCCGCGGGGAATCCAGGAGATGTTGGCCTACCATGCTGGTCATACGTCATGTACGAACGCTGACTGTACGAGCTTGTCGATCCGGCGGATAGCGGGCCACCACCACTTTGAGCAGATGTTGGCGGAGGACCGAAGATGCTAGTCAGCGAAGGTAGTCTCTCTGGGAGCGGTCCGCTCGAGACTTGTGGCGGTGCGGCTCCTGGTAGTTGTGGTAGCCCATGCCGTGGGCTACTGGACAGGCCGGTTGTTGTTGTTGTTGTTGTTATCGTTGTCGTCGTAGCAGTCGTCGCGGCTGTTGATGATGTCGTCGTGGCCGTGTTTGTCTCGGCTGCAGTGTTGTTGTTGAGGTTGTGTGCAGCATTGTCCTCTGCCGGCCCTGTTGTCGAAGGTGTCGTCGATATTGTTGTCGGGGCTGCTCTTGCCCCAGCTCCTGCGTCCGTAATGGCGGAAATAGATGCTCGTGCCAAGCTCGCTGCTGCGGTGGCGGACATGGACATAGCGCCGCCTATGCTACTGGGAGACGCCGTCCGGGGTGGTGAGCGTGACCGTCGCGCGGATGGCGGAGGCAGCGGCTGATCATGGCTGGACATAGGCGGAGAGATGGGCGGCTTAGGGTGTGGCCAGGCGAGGTCCTTGGGCGGCGGCCCACGAGATGATGTGTCGTTTGGCGAGGGGGAACAACCAAAGCTCACAAGATCGGGCGGCGTGTGCGGAAGCGACTGGCGGTTGTGCGGTTCGGCGTACGAAAGAAACCCCATTGGAAACGTTGGTGATGGCGAACAGGCTCCGAATAGGCCCGGAACATGTCCCCCTTGCGGTGTTGTTATTGAAGAAAGGACTGGCGATCGTTGATGTCCGTCCCCTTTACAACATCACCAGTAGAACACCTGGTTGTCGTCGAGAATGGAAAGAGTGAGGGTGAGAGAGAAAGAGAAAAGGAAAGAAGATACACGACACGGGGAGGAAAGGGGAGAGTAGAAAATGAAAGGAAAGCAAATAGCAAAAGGAAATGTGAGGATAGAAAAAAAGAGAGGAAGAGAACAAGTCAAAGGGAGGATAAAAGATGGCAGTGTAGACGACAAAGGACTAATAAGAAGAGGCGACAAAAAAGGCACCAGCCCGAAAAAGAAATACAATAAATAAAAGTAAAAGAAAACAATGGGGAAAGTGCAGGCTGGGCGTGGGAAGCAGATGGGTGGAGGTGGATGTTGGCCTTCGCTAAGGGGGGGATATCCGGCCGGGTAAAGAAGGAGGTTGAGCGGCGCAGTCCTGGCCTTTTAGGTCGTTTAGTCTTTTGCTCTTCTCTCAAGGAATTTGCTCAGTGGCTGTTGCTTTTCTGTTCTCCTTGCAGGAATCGAAGGAAAGAGATGCCGGGTTTCCTTCTTTTCTTCGTCTTCTTTCTGTTAGACGTGAGACTAGTGGTGTTTGTTGTTCGATGTGGTGGATATTCTGATCCTTCAAAGGGGCTTTGCCCGCCACCTTCTTGGATGTCTCTTGTTGTCTGCTGCAGAACGTCGTGGCTACTGTCTCGCCTGCTTGCTTTTTCCCTTTAATTCTTTTTACTTTTTGCTATTCTTCTCCTTTCCGGCTGTCCTGTTTTCGTTTCTTTCGTCCCGCTGGTTCTCGCTTCTGTGGAATGATCAACCACAGCTAAAAGCCGTCAGTTTTGCACTCATCCGCGCGGACCAACGCAAGGCAGAGCTGGCCGTGGACACCGCGAGAAAGACGGGATCAGAAACGGCTGCAGAGGAAACGGCAAAACTGAAGGGAGCAGCAGAGAAGGAAATGGAGAATGAATACGAAATCAACTGGCAAAGACCAACTCGTATCGGTGCGCCCAGGTCTGTCTGCGAGATGAGGTGCTTGATCTGACACAAGAACAAGAAGAGTAGGTCGAGGTGCACAGCAAAAACAACAATGGTAGGACGTTCCGGCCCAGAAAGAAGCGTCGTGAGGTTCACCGGATAATGTCAAGGGCACGAAAAGACAAGGACCAAAGC